AGGGGGAGGCCTTCAACGAGATGGATTGATACGGTGGCTGCAATGATGGGCTCAAGTATAACAGGGATTGTGGGGCTGGCACAGGATCAGGCAGTGTTTCGTTCTGCTGTGCATGGGGTCGCTATGAGTCGGAAACAACTCGACGGCACTTAACAACAACAACAGCTTGAGTAAAATGTCCCTATATAGCATAAATATTTTGTACATACCATAAATATTTTGTACGTGGCTACTAACCTAAAGATTGGTGGTTCAAACCCACGCAAGGGTATTGTGTAAGATAGACCTGGCAGGTTGGTTCAATTAAAATCACAACCATGAAATCCCTGTGGAGCAGTTCCATTCTGTAACACTGAGGTCACCATGACCTAAAATCAATCAACTCAAAGACAACTAATAACAGCCACTGCCTTGGGTCAACATGGCTCAGCATCTCCACTGGCCCCACTTTTCTCCATATAATGTTGCCTACTTGGATGGTATCTACCATTGTCCTACTGGTTTTTGTTATCTATATTAGTGTAATACATCTCTAAATGTATAAGGAATAAGAAGCAAGATTAGCACAAAGCTGGTTCCTATAAGGTCAGACACACCTCCACTCTCCAACCTTTTTTTTTTTTTTTTTACCAATTTTGATAATTGTTGGTCCTCCAAATGTGCCCTCTACGTCTCTGCAGGGTTTGATAATTTGTTGCAGTGGCCACATCAAAATCACAGACCATACTTACAAGTATGTGGTTTATTAGGGAAGTTACAGACTACAATTGAAGAATAGGATCAGCTTGGAAATAACAGAACAACTTGGGAGCAAGGTCTGGAAGCACATAGGCCAGGTCTAGAACACTTACTGAAGTTGAGGCCACATACTTCCCTACTTTAGTGCAGAATAGCTTTAAACCAGCATAGCTCTTCCAGCTGGTCTCTCCCATTGGCCTCTCTTCTAATGGCCCAGCTCACAGCTAGCATGGCAAACATGCTCAGCTATGTAGGCCTTCTCAGACTTGCAGTGCAGGCCCTCAGAGTCACCAGTTCTGCCTCCAACAATTCCAGGTCTCCCGTCATCTTTAGTGTTACAGCTAATTTCCAAGTATTGGAGTCCACTTAGTTAAGTTTATGATAATCCATTGTTGTTCTTCAAATTCCATCTGTTTTTTTGCACAAGCCAAATAAAACCAAAACCAAATTCATTGCTGTTGAGTTGGTCCCAACTCATAGTGACCCCTCCTTGGGTTTCCAAGGCAGTATCTTTATGGAAGTAGATTGCACAATCTTCCTTCCGAGGAACGGCTGGTGGGTTTGAACCACCAGCCTTCTGGTTAGCAGTCAAATGGCTTAGGCACTAAGCCATAAGAGGCCAAATAGGTGAGTTAAATGGTGATGTGGTTGATATCACCACTGCATCTTTCAAATACTTGATGATGGCACTACTCTTTGCAATCTCTCTAATTTCCTTTTGCTTTACTATTTTCCTATATAAGGGCAGTTATAATGGCTTCCACTTGGCTTTTCTATCATCATAACCCTTAGTCCACATGTCCCACATGTCAGGTAAATGTTGGGGTTCTGCCAGTTTGTGAGTATATAAATTTCAATTATGCATTCTAAAATTGGGGAAATCATTACAGGGTGTGTCAGAGACCCACCAGTCTCACTATGAAACAGACTTGAGTTAATACTACATCAAATGTGCCCTCCATACATCCTCAGTCTGACCTGTGGGCCATAGTGATGTTTTGGGTCTCTAGGAATTAGTTTCAATTCAGAACCATTGTCAGGTAATTCCTGAAGAGCCTGATCATTTCCTTTTCCATAATGAGCAGTCACTCTGGTGAAAAGCACACCCCTGTGGGAAAAACTGTTAACAGTATAAATTTTTTTAGCAGTGTAGTGAGGCCCTTCTTCAAGGAGACCTAGCCTCTCTTTCATTCAAAGAGTTGTGGGTCTGTAAACTTGTTCAAGTCTGGGAGCTGATTGAGGGCTATGCCTCTGTATGTTAGATGGCTTATCACTTGATTCACTTGACCTAGAATTCTTCTGCTTATACAGAACATGTAAATATTGAGTAGGTTTTCCATCAATTTCACTCCTAGGGACACCATGCCTAAGTATCCAATGTCATAATTCCATACAAATCCAACTATTCTGACTAGTGCTTTGACTCTGTTGTCCATTTTGGTAACCATGTCCTCCTTGTCATTGTTGATCTAGTTGGCCTCTAGCACTATGAGGTCTAATCTGTCCCATTGTAGTTAGATGTCTTAATTCAATTAGGGCAGTTCCTACTGTCAAATCTGGCTTAAATAAAACAGTAATCACAACAGTATTAAAGGATACTGGGGCTCCTTTTACAAAGTTATTCCTCACTGTTGTGGTAAAAATTGTGCCCTTTGGGCACTCTGTGTGTGGGTCTGTGGGTCCAATCTGTGAGTGACATGTCCACTCTAACATGTCAATTTGGGTACCTTCTTCTACATTAAACCAAGGCAGGTCTGGTATTTCAACTTGACTTATTACAGACCACCATATAATCCATGCATCAATAAACCAAGCAAATAAACTATTAGATCCTTTCCTAACCTCATGAACTGAAATACTAAATGAAGAATCTGTGCTTGTTGTTGTTGTTGTTGTTATGTGTCATCGAGTCGGCCCCGACTCATAACGACCCCTCCTTGGGTTTCCTAGGCAGTATCACTACGGAAGTAGGATTGCCCAACTTTGAAAAATCTGTGCTTAGTGGGCCCAAATCAATAAACTCAGACTGATCCAAGTTTTTGTTAATTCAACCAGTATCCCATGCCCTTAATGGTTATTCCAACACATGTAATTCAGGTTTCGATTTGTACATATTAGAGAAATCAAGCAGTTCTTTTGGAATGCATCATACCTTTTCCTGAATCACACTTTGTACTTCACCTTTTGGGGCTTGCTGGGACTAGTCTAGT